TTAAACACATATGCACAATTTTAAGATTTCAAAAAATTACACAATAAGTTTTTTCTCATTTACCCACCATAAACGTGACATTTCTCATTTTCTCGTTGTGTCCCTCCCGTTATAGGCTTCCCCTTGACCCTGTGTGTTACCCCCGTTGCGCCAAAGTTTTATGTGTGGCTTACCTCCGTTGCCGGGTCGAAGTCCTCGAGCCGGGCTCTTGGAAGTCCCATGTCATGTGGTAAATTCCTCTTCCCGTCTCCCTACCTGCCAGTTCCGGTCTTGGAAGTCCCATGTCATGTGGTAAATTCGTCTCCCTTGGATGTCCCTGATGTCCCATCTCCTGCGGTAAATTCCTCTTCCCGTCTCCCTGCCTGCCAGTTCCCACCTGCTGTGGTAAATGCCTCTTCCCATCTCCCTACCTGCCACTTCCCACCTTGGATGCCCCACCTCCCGCGGTAAATCCTCGTCTCCCTACCTGCCAGTTCCGGTCTTGGAAGTCCCATGTCATGTGGTAAATTCGTCTCCCTTGGATGTCCCTGATGTCCCATCTCCTGCGGAAAATTCCTCTTCCCGTCTCCCTGCCTGCCAGTTCCCACCTGCTGTGGTAAATTCCTCTTCCCATCTCCCTACCTGCCACTTCCCACCTTGGATGCCCCACCTCCCGCGGTAAATCCTCTTCCCGTCTCCCTACCTGCCAGTTCCGGTCTTGGAAGTCCCATGTGGTAAATTCGTCTCCCTTGGATGTCCCATCTCGTGCGGTAAATTCCTCTTCCCGTCTCCCTACCTGCCAGTTCCGGTCTTGGAAGTCCCATGTCATGTGGTAAATTCGTCTCCCTTGGATGTCCCTGATGTCCCATCTCCTGCGGTAAATTCCTCTTCCCGTCTCCCTACCTGCCAGTTCCCACCTTGGGTGTCCCATCTCCTGCGGTAAATTCCTCTTCCCGTCTCCCTGCCTGCCAGTTCCCACCTGCTGTGGTAAATTCCTCTTCCCATCTCCCTACCTGCCACTTCCCGCCTTGGATGCCCCACCTCCCGCGGTAAATCCTCTTCCCGTCTCCCTACCTGCCAGTTCTGGTCTTGGAAGTCCCATGTCATGTGGTAAATTCGTCTCCCTTGGATGTCCCTGATGTCCCATCTCCTGCGGTAAATTCCTCTTCCCGTCTCCCTGCCTGCCAGTTCCCACCTGCTGTGGTAAATTCCTCTTCCCATCTCCCTACCTGCCACTTCCCACCTTGGATGCCCCACCTCCCGCGGTAAATCCTCTTCCCGTGTGGTAAATTCGTCTCCCTTGGATGTCCCATCTCCTGCGGTAAATTCCTCTTCCCATCTCCCTATCTGCCAGTTCCCATCTTGGATGTCCCATCTCCTGTGCTAAATTCCTCTTCCCGTCTCCCTACCTGCCAGTTCCCACGATGCCCAACCTCCCGCGGTTAATTCCCCTTCCCGTCTCCCTACCTGCCAGTTCCGGCCTTGGAAGTCCCATGTCATGTGGTAAATTCGTCTCCCTTGAATGTCCCATCTCCTGCGGTTCCCTGCCTGCCAGTTCCCACCTTGGATGTCCCATCTCCTGTGCTAAATTCCTCTTCCCATCTCCCTACCTTGCAGTTCCCACGATGCCCAACCTCCCGCGGTAAATTCCTGTTCCCGTCTCCCTACCTGCCAGTTCCGGCCTTGGAAGTCCCTGTCATGTGGTAAATTCGTCTCCCTTGAATGTCCCATCTCCTGCGGTAAATTCCTCTTCCCGTCTCCCTACCTGCCAGTTCCCATCTTAGGTGTCCCATCTCCTGTGGTAAAATTCCTCTTCCCGTCTCCCTGCCTGCCATTTCCCACCTGCTGTGGTAAATTCCTCTTCCCATCTCCCTACCTGCCACTTCCCACCTTGGATGCCCCACCTCCCGCGGTAAATCCTCTTCCCGTCTCCCTACCTGCCAGTTCCGGTCTCGGAAGTCCCATGTCATGTGGTAAATTCGTCTCCCTTGGATGTCCCATCTCCTGCGGTAAATTCCTCTTCCCATCTCCCTATCTGCCAGTTCCCATCTTGGATGTCCCATCTCCTGTGGTAAATTCCTCTTCCCATCTCCCTTCCTGGCAGTTCCGGCCTTGGATGTCACATCTCCTGTGGTAAATTCTTTTCCCATCTCCGTACCTGCCAGTTCCCACCTGCTGTGGTACATGTTTTCTCCCTACCTGCCAGTTCCGGCCTTGGAAGTCCCATTCCGGCCTTGGAAGTCCCATGTCATGTGGTAAATTCCTCTTCCCATCTCCCTACCTGCCTGCGGTAAATTCCTCTCCCCCTTCTCCCTAGCTGCCAGTTCCCCCAGTTCCGCCTGCCAGTTCCCATCTTGGATGTCCCACCTCCTCATCTTGGATGTCCCATCTCCTGTGGTAAATTCCTCTTCCCATCTCCCTATCTGCCAGTTCCCATCTTGGATGTCCCATCTCCTGTGGTAAAATTCCTCTTCCCATCTCCCTACCTGGCAGTTCCGGCCTTGGATGTCCCATCTCCTGCGGTAAATTCCTCTTCCCATCTCCCTACCTGCCAGTTCCCACCTTAGATGTCCCATCTGCTGTGGTCAAATTCCTGTTCCCATCTCCCTACTTGGCAGTTCCCACCTCCTGTGGTACATGTTTCCTCCCTACCTGCCAGATCCGGCCTTGGAAGTCCCATTACGGCCTTGGAAGTCCCATGTCATGTGGTAAATTCCTCTTCGCATCTCCCTACCTGCCAGCTCCCACCTTGGATGTCCCGTCTCCTGCGGTAAATTCCTCTTCCCGTCTACCTATTTGCCAGTTCCCACCTTGGATGTCCCATCTCCTGTTGTTCCCTACCTGCCAGTTCCGCCTGCCAGTTCTCATCTTGGATGTCCCACCTCCTCACCTTAGATGTCCCATCTCCTGTGGTAAAATTCCTCTTCCCATCTCCCTACCTGCCAGTTCCCACCTTGGATGTCCCATCTCCCGCGGTGTAAAGTCCCATGTCATGTGTAAATTGGCTCACTTATTCACCCCGCTTCGCGTGGGGTGGCCGCCCACACCGCAGGTTTATTTCGGTCCGTGAGAGGGGCTAAGGGTGGTTTTCCCCCGTGGGAGCTCTTCAAGCTAAGAAGTTTCAATAAGAAATCCTTCCAAAACATTGTTTTTGACAGTGTTTTTCCAATGTTTCCAGTCAAACAGACGGTAATTTACACGTTTTTTGCCATAAAGGCAGTAAATCCTTCCAAAACATTGCTTTTGACAGTGTTTTTGTAATGTTTCCAGTCAAGCATACGGTAATTTACACGTTTTTTGCTATAACGTCAGTCCAAAACACTTGTTTTTGCAGTGTTTTCAATGCTCTGGCATCCAAAAACCCTGCAAAATCTTGCTATGTACAATGTTTTTTTTCATTTTTGGCCGTTTTTCCATTGCCGGAAAGCTACCAAAATGACCCAAAATTCCATTTCAATACCCTCTTGCGCTCAGACACCCAAAAATCCTCGAAAAATGTCGAAAACACCACCGTATTCTGGTCTCGGTGCGAAACCGTTTTTGGGGTCTGGTCTCGGTGCGAAACCGTTTTTGGCCCCCCCCCAGCTAAAGCTGATATAGCGACTGCTATATTAACAAATGTCATTGAGCATTTAGTGTTGCTGTTGCCCCCCAATAAGCACGCCTTCACCGCCAAAGCGGTGTGGGCGGATTCTCATGTCATCTGTCAAAAAAATGGAAAAATGCCTGCCCGTTAGGTCGGCGCATAACTCCCATGTCATGTGTAAAATAAAAAACCATAGCAAAATCGATACATAAATCCCATGTCATGTGCCAAAAAACATCGGCTAAATCGGCCGCAAAGTCCCGTGTCATCTGCGCCTAGTATATATATTATATGATGATGATATTGAAATTGATACTGCTGATGTCGGTGGTGCTGATGATCACGGTGTAAGTGGTGATGCTTTTGGTGCCTTGCTTGACGATTGCTGAGCGCTTTTTGACACCTACGGGGACTGGAGCAGGTAACACTGACTGTGACCGTGAACGAGGCACTGGGCAGTGAATGCCAATTTTTTGGCTCTTGTTTCCTAGATTTCCTAGACTGTTTGATTGCATGAACGGTTGGGTATTGAGAGTGCTTGCAAGAGACTTGCACCGCAAGCCGCTTCAGGGCAAGGCGGGAAGACTTTGCTTTCCTTTGATAGCTGTGATTCCCGTCATGAACACCTGAAACGTTCTGCCTGCAACACCAACCCCTTTTTTCTTGTCCTTCACCCAACGTTTCTACACTCAGCAATTTTGCCAGTCGGGTATGCCACAAGCACAAGATTTACAATCTGCCACAGGCGTGCTTTGTCAATTGTTGTTCAATTCATTTTGTGTAGATGCTGGACTGACAGTGCCGACATTCAAAAGCAGTGACAAGGCCCGCCAGCTGCACCGAAAGGCAAAGGCAAGGGAAAGGACCGGGCAGAGATCATACTAGCGAGCGGAGCAAAGCATGGAGAACTCGCCTCATTGTGAAAAAGTTGAAACATTGCTCTTTGATGCTCCTTGATGCTCCTTGATGCTCCTTGATGCTCTTTGATGCTCTTTGATGCTCTTTGATGCTCTTTGATGCTCTTTGATGCTCTTTGATGCTCTTTGATGCTCTTTGATGCTCTTTGATGCTCTTTGCATCTGTTTGCATCTCTGCATTCAGGAGAAAGGAAAGGAAAGAGGTAAGGACAAGGGAGAAGGCAAGGGCAAGGAAGGTAAAGGCAAGAGTGAGGGCAAAGCAAAGGCAGACGGCAAAGGAAAGGCAGAAGGGAAAGGTAAGAGCAAGGACAGTTGCTTGTTGAATGCAGTTGCTTCAGCCCATCAGTGTTCAAGTCTGTTCGATTTCCAAGTGGATCCCAAATAATATACATACGCCTACCAATATGAATATCTACCGTTATCTACCTAAGTGGCTGGAAGGATGGCAAGAATAAGAAGAAAAAAGAGGAGAAAAAGACCGAAGCAGCTGGAGAGGAGTGCCATGGAGTGCCGACGGTGTTGAACGTGTGGGTCAGGACATGTCAGGACTATCTGCTAGCTGCTGATTCGTGCCCAGGACTAGTCCTTGATCTGAGCCTTCCGGCCGAAAATGTCCATAGAGACGTTGCAACCGGAAAAGCCATGAGCAAAGTCGTTTCTGCTTCCATTTCGTTGTGGTTTCCAGAGAAGTGACTCTGCTTTTCTGAACAAAACTCAAGGCTTTCTGGCAGCCTGAGTGTGGTCACATGGCCACAGTATCACTGGAAATAAACTTGTCAACGACAGTCTGACTCACCATTTGACCGTCTGGACCGTTTGGTTCATTTTCCCTCAAGAAAGAGTGGTTGAGGGGTGAACCTTTGGCACCTTTGGCCGCTTTGCCTTTTCAGAATGTGCCTCAGGCGCAGTCTGCTGCTGGGTACGCAGACAGAGATGCTGGTAGACAGATGTCCAGATTTTGCTTTTTCGAGATGGACCTTGAAGCACGTGCAAAACACTGTTTGCCCTACAGGGATAGTTCTGAAGGTTCGTTAGAGCCAGATGTAAGGGGGGGAATTAGCGCGAAACGGTTCCAGAAAGACGTTGAGCCGTTGAGCTTTCATTTGCATTGAAATCGTCCAACATTTGCCATGCAACTTTAACTTTGGGCTGAATTGTCTTTGATCTCCAACTTCACCAACTTCACCAACTTCATGTCTCCATCTTGGTTTCTTCTGTTTCCCGTCTCTAGAAATCAGCGTCCGCGTCTCGTGCGTCTGTGGTAGCGCGATTTCGCCTTAGAAGTCAGACCAGGCTCTCCATGCCAAAGATTTCGTTGCACCCCGGCCACTGGAGACCCGTTGTATCACGTTGTATCACGTTGTATCACGTTGTATCACGTTGTATCACGTTGTATCACGTTGTATCACGTTGTATACTGTGAGACTCAGATTTGAGGGGAGCAATGAATGGAGCAGATGTTTCGCAAATGCCGTGTTGCAGGGCCGTGTTACATGTTGTTTTGTTTGTTCTGGTTGTTGGTTCCTTTGGTCTCCCCTAAGCAGGCCGAGGGTGGCATTTTTCACATACTGATGTTGGCATGAAGGCACACTGCCGCTGGATCAGACATTGACCAAATGAAGGCCCTGTTTGTTCGGGCTCAGCTTTCACAGAATGTTTGATCCAGGCTGATCAGTGGCCTAGTCTCAATTTGAAGGCAATTCGATACGTAGACAGCTTTTGCAGAGTGTATGGTTTAAAAGCTGCATGGAGGATCGTTGCAGTTGCTGGCTGACGGGGCCATTTCTTCACTTCCAATTCTGATTGTCTAATCTTAGATACTTGCAAAAAAATATTGGATTTTGGGACATGGCATTATTTTAACTTATTTTTCGCAGAGTGACAGAGTGTACGTGGTGAGCGTTGCTTGAGGATGATCTAACTCCTCCTCTAAAGTATGCAGAATCATAAAGATCATAAAACATGAAGTTCATGAAGTAGACTCTGTAGACCTTTCAATCATGGCCCATCATGGCCCATCATGGCCCTCAAGGATCTGATCAGCCCCACATCCCTGGAGCACCATTCCAAAGCAAGAACTTGACGAAAGGGGGATGACTGTATCAATTTTGTCGGCAATTCGTTGATTTTGCCAGCTCGCAATTGGCAATTTTGTAAAATGTGATAAGATGTTACAAGCAACTACGTCCTCACATGCCGGAAGATGCATGGTGGCCAGCTGGAGAAGAGGCCTGGGAACTGACAGACATTGGTCAAAGCTACGGTTCACAAGGCAACTCATCACTGCGTACGGTGTGGATCAAGCCATCCAGTCTTGGTGCAAAACTTGCAGAACTGTTTCCAGAACGAAGGAAGTCTGCGGCTCTAGACTCAACAGGTTTTGGATGTGAGGGTCAGGATTCTGTTGACAAATCTGGGAAGGATGGTGGCAAGACCTGCCATGGACAGCATCGCTCTTCTGAAGTAAAGGGGCAGCACAACTATGTGGGAAGAATTGAGAGTGGCAGCTACAGTCATGAGGATGAGGATGTACATTTGCTGGGATTTGGTCACAATTCCTCAGTGCATGTTTGTCAGTCACGAGTTCCACGCCCATGTAGGTACATGCAACGATGCAGAAATCCAGACAGCTGCAGGTATTGTCATCATGAAACTCATCAAGATATGCGACAGAAAGAGCTTTGAATCAGCTTCATCCGACAGCGAAGTACGGAGTGACCAGAGCCACAACATCTTGTCTTTGGTATTACAGTAGCAAGAAGCCGTACTGCACCCCATGACTCGGATATTTGGTATGCTTTGACATCGCAGACATGCACTAAAGAAGTGGCTCCAAGATATGGGTGCTTTGAGTCTGCTTATTGCGATCTGACTGATGATCTAGTTCAAGCCAGTTGGAGAATGCTCGGCTTTCAAAAAACAAGGGGAAGGCCTACCAGGAGCTTGATCTATCAAGTTGATGTCCGTTTCAAGTTGTATCTCTCAAGCTTATCCTAGCTTCTTTGACTGATGCCATGGGGATCTACGTATATACTGGGTGATGTGATAGGGATCTTCTATTTACTTTGATCAGGTTCCTAGTGAGGTAACAGCGGGTGCCAACGCATGAAGACTTTGTGGTGGTCCATGGACTGAAGCTCTGAAGCTCGCAGCCACTGTTTCTGCAGCAGTGAAACACATGAATTTCTGCCACTGTTGAGTGTTGCTAGTCACAATTTCAGGCTATTGTTCCATTGTCTTTTGTCAGTGTAGAGCACTGAAATGCTAGGCCGCATATCTACTGACTTACATGGGCTTAGGTCTACTATATGATATTACGATATATTACGCGTCTATATTATTAAATATGATATAATACGTTCTTGCAACAAGCAACTACGCTCAAGTGTCCGGAGATGGTGGTTGCACAAGCAGGCCCCATGCCTCGCCAGCCAATTCTGCACCAGGTAGTTGGAAGGTTACATGTGAACGAATTGCTTATGTTTTTGTCCTCAACGCTTGAATGTAGCACTTAATGCAGGCCAAGAAAAGAAAGAGGCCACATTTGGGATGATATTCTGGCACTTGCTGTACTTGCTAGGGTTCTTTCTTGTGAACAATGCATACATGTATGATTATGTATGTGTGTATGTTTATATGAACAGTGGGCAGGTAGTGCTCGTTGCCAATGCACCGCCTCTTGACTACTCCTTCAAGGCTGGTGAATCAAGCACTGCAGTCAAACGCTTTGAAAACCCATGGATCAATCTTGAGAGGAATTACGCAGCTGTCTCGAGCTTGAGACAGAGGACGATGCACAATTTTTTTGAATTTCCATATACTCGTACAAGTTCTCATAGGAAATTCCTTGGGTCCTTCAATGTTTCTGCAATCTGAGGAGCCGCGGAGTGGCCTCAAGCCGCGATCTGCAGGGGAGAGAGAGAAGGAGCGGAGATTTCCATGGTGCTCCATGTTTGCTGCAATCGCAATGTATTAAATAGATTGGGTCGACAAATGGCCACCAACCGATTGGAGAGCACACTTGATTTCATTTGATATCATTTGATTATGACTCTGTTAGGAGGCAGGCGATGCAGAAAGTGGCAGACCTAAAGCCTAGCTGAATCGCCGATGCCATGCTTCGCCCAGCACCAAGGTGTGGCTTCACCTACGTCCAAGGCCCACAGATTAGCGCTCAGCGCAAGATCGATCCAATTCCGTCATGATTTCAGTCCATTCCAATCACCAAAAGGAAATCACACGAGATCATGATGATATCAACTGTAGTCGATGCATTTATGGCACATTTATGTGGATCAGTTGATGCGAAAAGCTTGCAGGCCAAAGAAAATGAGCCCAAGATGAGAGTGGTTGTCCGAAAGGCGCAGCAAAACACCTTGTTTGCAAGTGAGGCTCATGACCACTGTACAATTGTCGTCCCAGGTGACAACTTCTGTGAAGCTCAACAACAACATGCTGGAGTCTGTTTCCGGTCTTCCACAAACGTTGGAGTTGCACCTTAGATCTATGGATAGCTTGAGCCAGCCCTACAATCTGTGTTTGTCATTTTGATTTTATTCCATTGACTGAGGTTTCGGCTTCCAAATCCTTTGCTGAACCTGCAGTGGTTGGACCTATCCTTCAATCAGCTAGCTTGATTCTCAGTCTGGGACGTGTTTGATGCAAATACAACAATCAACAGCTCCTGCAAAGCAAAGGTGACAGTGGAAGCAGATTTGCTCAGGCTTTTGACTCAGAATTCTATGCAGTTTAGTTATCTTTAGCTGATTTGCCCAGTTGGTTCAGAGCTGGCCATTGGTGGAAGGTTCTACAACCTGAAGGCACTCTACATGCACGGCAACTGCATCACCAGGCCACAGTATGGAGAGTTGATTTTTTTCCTTTATATAAATGCAACTGGATATAGATTCGACATAGGCATGCACAAGTCCGAGTTTTCCCCAACTGGAGTTGGTAGGTCTCAGGAGAAAACATGAGAAAACGATCAACCGTCGGATCATGTTGGATCATGATGGATCATCTTATTTTGACAAATTTTGACCTTTGATTTTGAGAGGTCCGGTTGATCTTCCCGTTGGTGCAGTATGGTCTTTCCTGTGCAGGCTGTCAGCAGTGGATCGCTTGAGGAAGTTGCCAAAGCTCATCTCCCTTACGATGAACGGCAATCCCATTGAGTCAGCAAAGTCTAAACCTTGGGCAATGAAGCTACCCCATCCTGGATTCTGCGAGAGGTTTCAAACTGTTTAGATAGGATATTTTAATATCACTTTTGCGCACAGACACAGATTTCAGGATCTACAGGGTCTATGTGATGGGTGCGCTTCCCTCGCTGAGGCAGTATACTTTGTCCAGTATCAAATGTCAAACGTGCGACTCGCATGACCCATGATGTTTCAGAACGACAAGCACGTGATAGATTCGACAGGTCGCTGGACCATTCGACCATCACGGACGAAGAAGCGAACAATGCATGTGTATGGTCACACCGGCAGTGACATTACCTCGAAAGACATAAATCGGCAGGACTGGTTTGCTCTTTGATGCCAGGTTTCAGGGTCATTTGATCAGGGTGAAAAAGAAGAAAGAAGAGATGGTTCCTGGCTAAGTGGGCCAAGCTTGAGCATTTCGAGGAAAGATTTGCGAGCTGCGAGAAATATGGTACTATAGGATACTATAGGTAGATTGGAGTAGTCTCGTAGAGTCTCGTAGAGTCTCGTAGCCTGTTCGATTTGAGGCTCTGCAGGCGTTGGATGCATAAAGCCAGGCCACGGCCTGGCCATGCCTGGCCATGCCTGGCCATGCCTGGCCTATGTTCATAGTGATTCATAGTGATTCATAGTGATTCATAGTGATTCATAGTGATTCATAGTGATTCATAGTGATTCATAGTGATTCATGGTGCACGTGCTGCGACACTGGCATGCTTTGCCCCTAGGACAAAGCAGTCTCACCGGCTGTGAGTCAGAAAGACAGGACTTGCGGCCGCAGGAAAATGTGCTTGAGACCATGAGCCTGCATGAGCCTTTAAGATCTTTAAGTGTTGGTTGACTTGTGAGACTTCAGCAAGCATCAAGTTCAGCTTTTGACTCTTGGCTTTTTTCTTCATTGACATTGACATGCTTCATTGACATTGACATGCTTCTATGCTCAAATACACCAGCCTACAGCTCTCCCAGCACGAAAAAGCAAGGATGTGTTTGACAGAAGATTGAATGCAAATCAATGGGCAAAATCAACGGACATCAAATATCATCAATGACACCTGGTTTGAGCAATTGCACATTATATATACACATATCATTTATCCGTATCTTGAATTGCCTTGTGGTTCAAGATGGCAGATCCTCTTGAGCCAGGCTGATTTCTCTAAGAGCCGCTCTTCCATTCTAGTTAATCTGATGTTCAAAACCAGAATTAATTTTCTTACATATGTACCAGAGGTTGAGGAGCTTGGCTGTTGGACAAATGCCAATTTTGTCCGTCCCTTGCAGACTTGCCGTTGGTCCAGGTATGCGAAGGAGCACGACTGCTACATTTTTTGAGCAAAGGCTTCTGCAAGATGTAGAAATCTCAGAATGTTTGCACGAGCCTCGTGAGTTTTATTGATTTGATTGCGCCCACAGAGTGCTGCAGCGAGGCTGCCCGAGAGAAGCAGAAAGCACGGCACACGTTGTTGCCTGCTACTTACAGAAACAAAGGGAAAGAGATCAAGAAAACTTGAGGAATCTGCCGAAGCTACAGGCTACCTGTGCTCTTTGCATCTCTTTGCTATTCCATTCCTCTTGGGCACTTTCATTCTCGACTGAAGGATGAACCTGAAGGAGCGAGATTTGCGCGACAGGCAAAGGGCGCAGTTGGATGCAAGTTAGTATAGGAATTGAAGCCTTAGGAGACACAATATAAAACAAGTGGATTCAATACGCAATTAAGACATATTAAGACTAACTCAAGAGTTAATCCTTTTCCGTGGTGAGGTAATTTACTGACACTTACTCGCATGACATTGCCATAGATTGCCATTGCCATTAGCCATTAAACCAGGGACTTTGCGACAGGCCATCCTCTCAATTCCTTCGCGAATGCCGAGAGCAGACTGTTTCTGATCAGTTCGGTTCGGATCCTCAGTCCTGCCGATGCCAAAGGATCGAAAAGGATCGATGGGTCTTTCAGCACTGGCAATGCTGGCTTGAAGATCTTCAAGCTAAAGAGGTGCAGAACCAGAAGAAACCATGGGCTGGGAACTTAGCAGTGGGCGTGCAGATTTTCTCCCTTTGTGACCCGACTGTTCACGGCTTCAGTTCTTGTCCGGCTGCAGGCCAAACGTTTGGAATCACAGATGTTCCAAAGAATTTTGCACAAGCGACTGAACAGGAGGACCTATGTTTCAAGCTGGTATTTTTGGCTGCATGGTACGGTAGCGTGCCATTTGGCAGGAAGATGATTCCCATAAGATCGGAGAGCTGCCAAGCACTGCGATTTGTGGGAATGATATCACTGCTAGCTGTGCTGCTCTCAGTGGTTCAGGGGCTCATGCAGATTGAACTGGAAGCATCTGGAAGCTTCATTTGGTCATTTGCCACCGTCCGCCTTAAAGGTTTTTATGTCGTTGGAGAGCTCTCAAAAAATGCCGGCGTGCGGGGAGCTGATATTTTTTCCAGCGTGAAGTTGATAGCTTTGTTACAGTGTGGTAGTTTTGGATCTTGTCACCAAGGTTCTCTCCCATTTGCACAATGATGTCTTCATTGACGCTGTATTGCTTTCGTAGTGTCTACGGTGAGGCGCAACTTATCTGGCCTGCATATGCATAATTGTACATATACAGTATATATGTACAGTATATATGCATACCATTTACATACATTATACATATGCAGCATATGCAGATGCATACGAGAGCGTGTCACGAATGCTGCTCAAACTGCCTTTGGCGAGCCTTCGGCGAGCCTTCGGAGGTGGTGACAGCACTCCCTTTGAACGGCGGGATCTACAACTTATTGCTGAACTCTTCAACGAAACAGCCGGGAGCTCGACAGCTTGTGCGACTCGAAAGATTTTGACAAATCTCGACAAATTGGACGTATTTTTGAACTCGTTCATTTTTAAGGACAGCTTCAGTGGCCGCCTGCCTCACAATACTGTCGTTTGCTTCTCAGGAGACACCAATGCGAACTGTACATGCTAAAGATATGAACGCATGAATAATTTGAGATACCACACATGCCTGTGGATCCTGTGGTCAGTTTCTCTTGTAAAGACCAATGTTTCACTTTTTCCCTTTTAAACCCAGAATTGCATCATAAAGCTTGACATTGCCCGAACTTTGAGGTACACAGCTACAGGAGTGGTGTCTTCGGTGAGTGCTGCGGATTATTTGAAGTGCTCCCCGATGTTTTCGGGGATCGAGAGCGTGTCGCCCTTAGTGACGTCTTGAGTTTACTAGAGGCCACGAGGGGTTGTCTGAAGATTGGGCACCCCCAATTCCAAAACCTTATATATCATTATATATCAATATATTTGCCATTTAAATCTAAACGGTGATTTGTTCTTTTGGGACGAAACCATGAGTCCTAGAGGCTGCTAGAACATGCCAGTGAACGCAGTGCAACACAGGTGCCAACTGCAATCTGCATTTTGGGCTTCTTCGCTGCTTGCATGCTGATGGGCATGCAGGACATAAACAGCTCTTGAAACGATTTAGACATTGGTGTTCCAACACCTTGTGAATAGTTAGTACACCTTGATCATGACCTTCGCACCTCTTTGGACCTGTCTCCAAATTCGATTGTTTGCGTTGGCTTGAGTTACAACTACACTCGCATGGGCTGGAAGCACTCCAGTCAGCTATGATTCTTGTGGTTTCTGTCAGGAGAGCTCGGCCGTTGCCTCCGCACTCTTTGTGTTTCACTTGTCAGACCCTCGCGGATGCATTCTCACTGCCATCACTTTGCACTTGCACATTGCCACTGTATGAGTGAGCCATTCCGCAAGGTCAGTCTTCTTTATCCTCGGAACGTTCTGTGTGATCTTTTTGCAGGATAAATACACCGTTCCACGTGAGCAGAAGAAAAGCTGTGATCCGCTGTTTTTGGATTGAACTATTTTTGACCACAACTGAGTTTTTGCCTTGAAGGATGCTGGACTGGGGCAGCTGTACGATAACTTTGCATGGGAGAGGTGCACTCAAGACACCCTGACGCTCCTAATATTGAAAGAAACTTTGACGTTTTTGCCGGTGACAGGCAGCCACCTTTCTGGAATTCAATCTTTTTTGGCTTCTCCTCAGCAATGCTTGGGGTGTCTGGTCTTAGCCCCAGCACTTCAGACACTGGTCTAGCCTCTTGTCTGTTCGCTTTTGTCTGCCTCGGAGATTGACACGTATATAGTTCCCACATGTTCCCACATGTTCCCACATGTTCCTATTAGGTTTTGAGACGTCTGCAAATTTTGTTGAAGAGCAGAAGCCAGGCTGGGCCCAGTTGTTCGTTGAATGCTGCCCCTAACTGCTGCAGTATTTTTGCTTCAGGTGTTTTTCCGAAGACGCTTCGCAACATGTGGGTAGCTGTCTCTATTATCAATTGTGTGCTACCAAGCCTGGCAGTGGTTCGGACCTGAGCACAAAGCATTTGTGACACCAGACATTTCAAAAACTGTCCAAAGGCTTCTGAAGTTTTGATGTCATAAAAGTGTTTTAGATTATTTTGATTGTTTTTGTGTGGGCGTTTGCATTTGCAATAGTCTTCCGTCTTGCTCTGTTGGAATCTGACACTCCACAGAGAGGCTGTGCTCCCGTTGGATGAACTCACAGGTCTGACACCTACAGCCAGTTGGCGCATCTGAATCATTCTGAATCTATTGCAGACTTGCATGGACCGGCGGATTGCGTTTCAATGAGGTGACAAATCAGGGTTTGCTCTGGCCTTTCTAGCTGAGAGAGCTTGAGTCCCAGAATATCTATTGTCATACTTTTTGCACAGTCATCCTGAAAGGGTATAGTGCAAGAAGCTGAGGTCGCTGGTCCTTTCCTCAGAGACGTGGTTGCAATTGATGCCGCTGCCCCAGATTGCTGACGCTGGCTTTCTATCGCTTACCATTGCCTTGCAATTTTGTCCATAGACATCTTTTGCAATTTTCTTGCTGTGCAGGCTTTACTGGTGCTTTCTGGCTCAGTTCTGACCAGTTATGTTGGAGCCAGAGACTCAACAAACGCCTGGAGTCAGATATGTTTGATAGGTTTGCAAAGAATTAAAGTAAAGACATTAGCAGGCTCTTCTAGAAGGGAGGGTTTTGAAACTCAATATCTATATATATATAGTTTGGATATGGTTCAGGAATTTTCGTTTCGTGGACTGTTTTTGCAGTCATGATTTTGATATGGTTTCAGCATGTTTCTGATATGGTCAAAATCGTGATTTTGATGTGGCTCAGAATTGTGACTTCTGTTTTTTTGCAATTCATATGGTTCTTTGGGATATGTTTTGAAAACATCAGAATCATATAGACATCATATACACATCGTATCAAAATCAAAAAACACTTGAGAAGTCTACCCCGTTTCCATTTTTCATGCCAACCCACGGGAACCCCACAAAGTCACTTGGTTCCTAAACCATATCAAAGCCATGTCAAAATCATATCCAAACCGCATCGATTCCATCTCGATTTCATATCCAAAATCATCTCAAAATCATATCCAAAAACCATATCTATATAAATCATAATCCCAGATTCAAAGCGTATCAAAATCATATTCCAAAACCATATCAAAACCTTATTGAAACCATGAGACATATGTTTCTTGAATTTGGCTTCGTAGATTAGCGAATTTGATGTGATACAATTAATTAGAGGTTGGAGCCACACTCTATTGGAGACTCCAAGACAGGTCGTTGGTCTGTTCCAGAGAATGGCTGGGGACAGGCGTGCTGCTTGTATTTCTTCCTGGAGTCACAAGAACGTGCAATCTGCGCAGAACTGGTTGCAAACGCGAAAGGTGCTTGCCAGAATTCTTCAGCGAGACAAATTCCTGGCGAAACACTCCGCAGGGAGCACAGTCACATATCTTCTGGACCGACCATCTGAACCACCTGCTGATGATTGATGCTTTCTGTGAGGCACTACACTATCCTGGTGTTCTTCGGAGTTTGCTCATCAATGTGCGTAATGCTGAATGGAGACATCACTTTGCTGGAGCCTGAAGTAATCTAAGAAAGAAATACAAAGAATAGATTGCCAGTGTCCAATCTTTGAATAATGAAGTCTTACACGGGAATGAACCCTACACGGTAGTTAGGACGGATTATTTGGGTGCCTTGAGCACAGCCTTGAGACATCTTGAGACCATAAAAGGCGTCTAGGAAGCAACTTAACGAGGTTGGCAGCCATCTACTCGATCTCCTTTCTCCTGGTGATGGGCTTGTTTGCATTTTGCGGCCTATGGCTTAAGATCAACCGGCCAACTCTGCCGAGTCCTCAGTACCCTGTGGATGCACGTCTGCACGGGTCACGCTGCGTGTAGCCATTCTGGCCATTCTGAAATCCAAGGCCCCGTGAGATCAATGCACATCCTGCTTTCTTTGCCTTGGCCTTGGCTGAGTTTTAGTGCACATCAGAAAAATGAAGGCATGTTCAAACTTTCTGTTCTTTTGCTTACTTGCCGTCCCTGGTCTCTAGTGAACATTCGTTTCTTGGGTTCTCCGTTTTCGACCATTCCCAATTTGTCTAAGCTACTTTGTCTGCATTGGAGACTGCTATCTCCCTCTTCAAACCTCCCTCTTCAAACTTCTTCCATTTTGTCTCTGTTTGGCCTGGGCCGCTGCATCTGATGTGTCCTGTGTACTTCTGGTTGATGATTCTCATTCTTTGTAGTGTTGTGATGCCGCATCATTCCCCATGTTTCTCCAGGGCCGGCAGGCTTGTTTATTTTCCACCGAAATCTGTCCTTGCTTTGGCACAAACTCACTTGTTCTTCATTTGTTCCCAGGTGTGTGGTTTGCTGTTGGTGAGTTGTGCTGGCTCGCTTTAAGCAGTTGAATCCGGATATGTATATATATATATATTCCGGATATGTATATATATATATACATAATATGAAAGTCCGGCATTTGCAATCAAAGACATACAAGAGATACAGAATTGTATCATGTGGCCATGACTAAAAGATGTATTACTGTAATTACATCCGTGTTCCTGCATGTTATATATATTATGAAGACATGGATTTTGAAAGCATATTCTGATTGTGATCCCATTGATGCAAGTGTTCCTAGACACTACTTCATTCCAATGTTTCACGCATTCGTAATGTAGATTATTCATTGAATTGCAATGCCAGAGAAGGATATAGAATCCACTGAAGACTTTAAACACTTTAAGCAATGATACTGCTTTCTGGATTGAGAAGCTCAACAGAGCTTTTTCACTGCTCAAGATGAAAAGGCTCCAAATCAAGCCTCGAAGCGATACAAGTTCGAGTTTGCATTACGAGCGGTTGAATCTGCTCCATGACAACTGGCCTTTGGCAGACCTCTTTGGTGTAACCTGAGTAGCCGGACCAACAGCATGTTTTAACTTGCCAGGTTTCGCCTTCACAGCTGTGGTGCTTCTTCATCCCGAGGTCGCAATGTAAGGATGAATGAGAGGTGACGAATGTACTGATGAGTACCTAGTCCAAAGCTTTTGTGAATCTTTCTGAGGAACCAGAAGCTAATGCTCTTGATGTGTCTATTTTTTAGAGCGCCAAGAATCGCCACAGATGTTGACGTACTTCTACATCTACTATGGCATTACTACCACCATGGCCACTTGCATGCAAAAAAGCAGTGCTGTGCGAAAAGCTGCCAGCAAGAAAGCGCAGGATGGACACTTCTGTTCCCCCTTTTGCAAGCGTTCTTGCTTAGTTTCTTTTACTGTACAGTACGCTGGCCTGTGACGAGCCCAGGTGATGCTGACATTCGCCCGAGTGTCCATCTTCACTGCTTTCCTGCAACTGATGAGCCATTCAAAGGTTCGGGTAGAATGGTGCGTAAATGATGTTCAGATGCTTTCTTGAAATTTGCTCTAAAGCTGTTGTGATGCCGCCTGCGTTTCGGTCCTTGTTAGGCAGCCAGGTTTGTGATTCAATGGTTCGTGCACAAGCGAGTTGCTGAGGAGCCGGGACCTTGTGCAAGGTCTTGCCATAATTTGGACGAATTTGATACACTCTTGCTATGAAGCTTTCCATGGCTTTCCATGGCTTTCCATGGCTTTCCATGGCTTTCCATTGAGATTGAGGTGGGCGCATCAGAAGCTGAAGAATCTGCAAGACCAGGGTGTTGTGTTTGCACCTTAGTACCTTAGTGCTCGGCTGTTGATCCTTGATTGAAGTCTCTGAATCATGAGGTACTTTACAAAGCGTGCCAACATGAGCCAAATCAATCGAGCTTTGCAGTACATTGAGCAGAACGAGGAAGCCAGATGGGTGAAGGCAGCGGGAGCCACTAAAGTCACTAGCAGACCGAAGCATTGTGAAATGGAAAGAAGGGCAGAAGGCCAGCAGAAGGACAGCATATGCGGCTTGCTGCAGGTTATCCACTGTTATCCGGATGCCGATCAGATCCCAACGAATTTGGAGGAGTGTTGCTCTTAGTCTCAGACACAGCTTGGAATCGTGAAAGACATTCTGTAAGCATAAGCATCATTGAATGACACAGAACGAGACAATTTGCTTCTCTTCCTCTTGTTCGTAGACTTGAGAGCAAGATTCTAACTGGAGCAGTAGGCAGCACATGCCCTGATGTACCTAGGTACGTCCAAATTCTTGACTGTGTGTATCCTACACTCAAAGTGGACTCCATCCTGGTGGGGCCACTGTCGTTGGTGATGTGACTGGATCCCATTCATAGATTTGTATAGATTTTTGGTTCATGCTTCAGCCTGGGAGGTCCATGGAGAGTTTAGCCCTGCCATGGTGCAGTACATCTCCAAGCGAATTCAGGCCGGAGCTGGAGATGGACCGCGGAAGACCTCAGATGTTCCTCGACTTGTTCAAGTCTGCAAGTGACCAAGGTCAAGGTGAACTGCATGTTCATCAACTGCCCGAAGATCGATTTCAAGCATCCACTGGACAGGATGGGAGGCCTCTTGCTTTGTTTATATTTTGTCCTCGTGAGATCATAGAGCATGTTCCAACAATTTGGTTGCTTTTGAAGCATTTCTGTTTGAATGTGAGGTGTCCGTGTCATTTTAAATTCCGAGAAGCCGAATCCGCCAGAGACTTCAGAATGAATGAGAATGATCGCACTTCAAAACAGGAGAGCACAAGCCCTGAAGAGGTCGTTTGTTTGCTTTACTTGACACAAGATTTACTCACCTGCCGTCGCCGTTGTCTAAGGTTTCGCCGTGGACTCAACCTGGGCACAACCTCACCTTTTTTTGGGATGTCGCCCATGAATGCACGAAATGCAGGAGCTATGATTTTGGTGTTCCTTGACAAAATCTATCATTGACATGCAATTTAGCAACAATTGCCTGTCCTGAAAGGAGAGGACTACGCCGCATTGATGCCAAATAAATCTAGTGAGGATGAGAAGGATATGCAAAGCATTCCTGGGCTTCCTTTCAATCTTGATAATGAAGATCTCAACAATTAAGGGATCCATATTCCGTCATGGAATCATGACGGAATCTCAAATCTTATGCTGGAACAAAAGAAAATCGGCAGAATATGTGTAATTGGTAGAACATTTTATACATTATACAGTACAAACCACCTGAATTAATATAATTATAAGGAAGAAACCAAACAAGTATTATGCAATTTATTGAAGATTCATATATATATATAATATAAGTTTTTCTTAGATTCTTAAATTGCGTAGTACTGAAAAAGGAAGGATATGTTTTTCCTAATAGCGTTTGATAAAGTAGTTAATAATCTTTAATCATCTATTGGTCCTCCATTTTCGGTCCTCCATTTTTATTTATTGTTCATTTTGTCCGCATCCCCTTCTCCATTAATTGTTTTCCGTCCCATGTATTATTTGTTTTCCGTCTTCCATCCTTCATTTTTTGTCCTCCTTCCGCCATCCTTGGTCCTTTAATGTGCAATGGAAGTTACTGTACAATGAATGTTACTGTCCAATGGATATCACTACAATGGATGTCATTGCAAGGACTATCGTTGCAATGGATATCATTGCAATGGATGTCATTATTCAATGAATGTCATTATTCAATGAATATCACTGGGCAATCAATTTCACTGCAATATTTATCACTGCAATGGATATTACTCTAATGTAATGTTACTGCATATTACTGGCACTGCAATGGATATCATTGGAATAAATATTATTGTGCAATGGATATTATTGTAATGGATGTTCATTTTGAGGGAGGTCTCGTACGAAAGCTTCGTTTTGATATCTTTAACTTTAACTTTAATTTTTGAGGGAAATTTACACGAAAGCTTTGTAATATCATTTTCAATTTTTTAATTTTTGAGGGAAGTCTTACACGAACGCTTCGTTTTGCTATTTTAAATTTTCAATCTTTGAGGGAAGTCTCGCATGCGAAGCGACTTTGGAAGATAGCTGATGCGCAAGATGCTATGTTTTGTAGCACAGAATGTTTTTTCGGAAGATATGGGGAAGGTCTGCCGCGCGGCGGGTGCGAGATAATCCCGGGCGTCTAGCACGGGTTTGGCGCTGAGATCCGGTTTTGGCGCAGGTGCTGAAAGTGAGCTGAGATCAGCTGAGAAGATCTGAGAAGAGCTGAGAAGAGCTTAGAAGATGCGAGAAAAGAAGAGACGAGAAGACATGAGAGTTGCTAAGAAAAGAGGTGAGAAAATCTGAGAAAAAATAAAAAATATATATAAATAAAAGAACATGGTATAAATAAAAGAATGCCACATGAGAAGAGCAATGAAGAATTGAGAAGAGATGAGAAGAGTTTAATTGAGACCAAATGCGCAAAATGGAGAATTTGAGAAGAAATGAAAAAGAAAACATAAATAGATTACGAGTAGTACCGCGCAAGGCGATGGCGGAAGTTTCAAAAATAGGAAACCTATAGGAGAGCTTGGTTGTTGTGAATCACGGATGGCAGAGTGAATCCACTGATGGACTGAAAGGTGGCTGGAGTTATGTTTTTTGGAATGGTTACAATGGTTGCAGTGGTCACCTGGTCGGTCACCTCACCCACAACTGCTCGATGTATTGTGGTGTAGTGCAGTTGTAGTTGTAGTCGTAGTGTAGTGGAGTTGTAGTAATGGTGTAGTGTAATTAGTGTAGTGTAGTTGCAGTTGCGTTTGTCGTGGAGTAATGAGTGTAGCGTAATGCGATGTAGGGTAGTGTAGTGTAGTGTAAAGTAGCGTAGTTGTAGCTGTAGCTGTAGTTGTGGTTACTGTAATGTAGCGTGGTGTGGTGTAATGTAATGTAATTAGTGTAGCGTAGTTGTAGTTGTAGTTGCAGTTGTAGTTGTAGTTAGTGTAGTGTAGTGTAGTATGTGTAGTGGAGTGTAGTGTAATTTAGTGTAGTGTAATGTAATTAGTGTAGTGGAGTGTAGTGTAGTGTAGTGGTGTGTAGTGTAGTAGTGTGGTGTAGTGTAGCGGTGTGTAGTGTAATGTAGTGCAGTGTAGTGAAGCGTTGTGTGGTGTAGCGGAGTATAGTATAGCGCAGTGTAATGTAATTATTGTAGTGTAGTTTAGCCTAATGTAGCTGTAGTTGTAGTTGTAGTTGTAGTTATAGTCTAGGGTAATGTAATTTAGTATAATACAAATATATATTTATAATTAAAATTGTGCAATGGAATGGCATGGAAATAATATAAGATAATATAATAGAAATTATAATTATATAATATAATATTTTTTATTATATAAAGTAATAAATATATATTCAAAATTTATTTGAATTGATATATATATATATTTTTGAAACTAAAATACTAGTAGTACCGCATAAGGCGGTGGCGGAAGTTTCAAAAATAGGAAACCTATAGGAGAGGTTGGTTGTTGTGAATTAGGGATGGCAGAGCGAATCCACTGATGGACCGAAAGGTGCTTGAGGTCTCCCACTCTTTCTCGCTCTTTCTCTCACAATCTACCTACCTACCTATCTATCTTCTATATATCTATCTATCTATCGATCTATCTATCTCTCTCTCTCTCTCTTTCATCTAGTTATCTATCTATCTATCTATCCATCTATCCATCTATCCATCTATCTATCTATCCATCTATCCATCTATCCATCTATCCATCTATCCATCTATCCATCTATCGATCTATCTATCTGTGGAGTGTAGTTGTAGTTGTAGTGTTGTGGAGTGTAGTGTAGTGGAGTGTAGTGTAGTGTAATGTAGTGTAGTGTAGTGGAATTTAGTGTAGTGGAGTGTAGTGGAGTGTAGTGGAGCGTAGTGGAGTGTAGTGGAGTGTAGTGGAGTGTGGTGGAGTGTAGTGGAGTGTAGTGGAGTGTAGTGGAGTGTAGTGGAGTGTAGTTGTATTTGTAGCGTAGTGGAATGTAGTGTAGTGTAATGTAGTGTAGTGTAGTGTAATGTAGTGTCGTGTAATGTAGTGTAGTGTAGTGGAGTGTAGTGGAGTGTAGTTGTATAGTTGTGTAGTTGTAGTTGTAGTTGTAGTGTAGTGGAGCGTAGTGTAGTGTAGTGTAGTGAAGCGAAATAAACGATATTTGAAATTTTAGAAGTGGTTCGAAATCTTGGTATTTTTATTATTATGATTTTGAAATATATTTTAGATTATAATGATATAATTTTTTTCGACATTTTAATGTTTAAAAATATTTTGAAACCTAGATATTTTAAATATTTTTATTTTGAAATATATGTTGTATTATAACGATATTTTTTTTTTAATATTAATATTTTAATAATATATTGATTTTTAAATTATTTTGAAATTATTGATTAATATTTAATATTTTTAATTCTAAATAAAATATATTTTATATTTTAAATTTATATATATTATTATATTGATTTTTATATTTAATTAGAATATATATATAGAATATATATATTTTT